ACGGGCGTGCCGCTTAACGCTTAACGGGCGTGCCACTCACGGGCGTGCCACAACGAACGAAGAAGCGCGCCGCCATTCTACAAACACAATACGTCAAAATAAGAAGATCTTTTTAGCATACTACCTTAAATACCCATTCATTACTTTTACTTAAACAGAACATGCTTTGAGGTAACTTTATTTTACTTTCTTTTTAATTTAAATTTGTTGCAACCTTCCATTAAAATGTGGGTACTATGATGAAAACTCAATGAAAACTATTCTCAAAACAAAATGTTACAAGTGAGAAGTGCAGTGTTGGGTACAAAAATTCATCACAGACTGAGTTGAGATGGAACAAATGTCAAAATAAAAAGTACAAGCAACCTTAAAGACCTCTAAAGATCGATAAAGTAAAAGTAAAATAACTCTATCTAGCTAGACAGAAGTGTTTTGTAAACATCTTGAAGCAAAGGGCTGATATTGAGGAGTGGATTATTATCCCCCTCATGGCGTCTCCCGCCCCGTCCCGTTCGTATCCGTCCAGAAGTAACCTAACCTATCATTGCACGGGCACCCCGGGGATACGCCCTGACGGCGCTCTTTGCACGCGTGTACAGGTGTTTGGGGGGTCACGTTGGCAAGGCGTACTGGGTAACTAATAATGGATCCGAACTGGGACATCCCCAGGTACCCCAGTGTCCCCAGCGTATCTCTCTACACCGTGTTTGGGGGTAAAGGTTGCTGGAGGTACAAGTACCAGGCAGCAGTGGGTTAGGAAGGAGGGGGCGGGCGGGGGGTGCAGTTACGCCTCGACGTGCGTGCCCCGTTGCATGGCGAGCAGGGGGCGTTGGCCTCACTTCTCGCAGATGCAACCCGACAAATGAAATTTTAAAACTTTATGAGAGAGAAAGAGAGGGAAAGAGTGAAAGCGGACTACGTACGCGCACCAAGAGAGCGGGAGCATTCGGCAACGCTCTTTATTCTTTCTTTCTGCTCCTGCTTCGTACATCCACCCCCCCCCCTTTCCCCTTTTCTCCTCCCTCTCTAACCCACCAAAACCCGACCGCAAACGTACGTGACAAACGACGAGGACGATGATCAAAAAACTTTCCGAATACCGTCTGCAGAAACAACGAAACTACCTAAGGCGAGCCTTAGGCACCTATCACTACCCCCCCCCCCCACTCCTCCCCGTCTTTTCCCCGCCAACTTTTTTTTCCTCATTCTATTTCTGCTCTTTTCTTATTTCACTTTTCTCACTTTTCGTATTTCCTTTCCTCCCCTCTTTCCTCGCTCTTCGTGTTCCCTTAGGCGTATGCTCGTCCGTCCCTTCGTCCGTCACGGGTCCAACGACGCCGCAGCCCCGGCCCCGGGGGTCCCGAGGCCCGAGGTCGATGCACCGAACAACAGGACCGATAACACAGGGAGGAGGGCCGTTATCCGGTCGTCAGGTGCGGGCGGGGCCGGGGCCCGGGCCGGGCGGGGAGCATGCAATAAACTATGCGTCGATATGCGCGACCCGCTCAACATGCCAAGCAGGCAGGCGCGCCAGGCTGGGAGATTCGCAGACGAATGTCGACAGCAACGACAGAAGCAGCAGCCGCCGAGCACAGGGAGAGAACAACTCGAACTCGGCGAGCCGAGAAAAGTTTCGGGTCATTCTCGGGTCGGCTCCCTTGCCTCCACCGCACTTCACTGCTTTTCTTGTTTCTCCATGCCTCTCTTCCTCTTCCTCGGTCTCTCTTCATCACAGAGCGAGAGCAGAAAAGGGGGATGGGGCGAGAAAGAGAGAGAGAGAGAGTAAAGTGCATCCCGGCGGCGCCACGTCCCAGCGAGTTGCGGGGGAAGCATCGCAGCGTCATTCGAACAACTCACTTGCAAAGTGGAAGTGGATTGCATAAACTTGGCACTCACAGCGAACCAGTGCAGCCCGCAGGCAAAAGAGCGAGGAGCGGGTGGTTCCGGAGCCCAGGCCGAGAGTGTCCACGAGAGTCAGGGGTGGCGAGTACGAGAAATGAGACAAAAGTTATCGGACCACGTATTACACTGTAACGGTTATTATTTGCGTTTGGGTGGACATAATTATTATTATTTTTACACTGTACCCGCACTAATGAAAGGTGAAGTTCAAGGAAATTCACCATAAGTTTTCAACGAGTACGCTCGACGTAGAGGCGGCGAGAAGGGAGAGGG